TTTATTTTATTTTAAAATATAGATAAATTGATTTACTGCCAAACTCATGCCGTCCATAAGGGTTCAAAACTGGTCACTCAATACCCTTATCACGTTACAAGGCTGGCTATCCCATCAGCGTCAATGTGTGTCCATAAAAGTCGCATCGTAGCACCTAATTTTCAAAATTTTAGGTCTCCAATTTAATGGCGATTTTTCGTAAAAATTATCGATGATGAATATATTTATAGATCTAACATCGGTCAGATTATTTTTTTGATTTAACATTGGTCAGATTATATTTTTCGATCTAACACCTGTAGAAGTAAAGCGCACCCCCCTGAATCGCGTTATATGCTGATTTGACGCCACGTGGAGTATAGTGCGCGCCCTGTACCGCGCTATATGCTGACTGGGTTACACGTGGGGTATAATGCGCCCCCTGCTCTATACGCCACATAAGGGTATAGCGCGAATCAAGGGCCGCGCTATACGCCGTACCAAAATTATATTTAATACGATCCCTAATCCACGCTATATAATAATTACATATAACAAGGTGCCGATACCGCACCTTATATGTTTATAAATACCGCATCTCTCCTCACATCTCCTGCATCTCTCCTCTCTTATAAATTAATACAACAATTCCGTCAACGAGTAATAGTTATGGCAATCTTCTCATATTTAATTTAGAAGTTCGTGTGATTTTTCGTTATAAGGTAATTTTGTTATAATTTTTTAATTATACTTATTGTTTATTATCATTATTTGAAAAAATATTATACTAATTATTTTCAATTAATTTGTATGTTTGTAAAATTGAAAAGCGGGAGCATACGTCGAAATAATTTTGCGGTGCAGGTAATAATATAAAATTATATTATTTAAATTATTTACGTTGATGTGTAAAAAAAAATTTGTGTTATATTTTCGTTTATATATAATTTATTTAATCAAGTTTGTTTAAGTTATTTTTTTGCAGATATAATATTGCCGCACTTTTAAATTCAAAGAATGGCGCGACTTTCAGCTATTGTTTATTATGATGGTGAAATTCGAGAAGATGAAATTGTCGTTGTTTTCGTATCAAATGGGCGTGTTAAAATATCATTCAAGAGAAACATAACTCTTGAGGAGCTGATAACGAAGATTTCGAGGAAGATTCATTTTTGAAGTAATAGAAGAATATCGTCGTTGCAGTACAGATTTCCAACATCATTGTTGTCATTAACTTATACAGCGTTCGAACTTTCGAACAATGGTGATGTTCAAATGATGGTTGAAGCTCAAAGTAATTATTCAGACGCCACTATTGAGATGTATGCACATTTTGTTCAAGTGTGTGCTGTTCGGGGTCAATCTTTAAGCTCACACTATGAGCTGGCTGAACAAGTTGATCAAGTTGACAGCCCGACTACAGTAATGTGTAATGATTTTAATGCCATAATGGGGAGACATTCATTCGCAACTCCTTACGATATATACTGAGGTAGGTCCACGAACAATCTGTATGGCAACACCTCGTCTAGTTCAAGGGGAAGGCATTCATTTGCAAATTTCTTAGACCATATGGAGATGCCATCGACGCAACCATCTGTGCAGTTTCCATTTGACACGATGGCTTCAAGCTCCAGGGGGAGCATTCGACTGCGAGCTTTTTCGATCTCAATGTCGATATGCCTTCCAATTCAAGGGGAATGCGTGCAAGTAGTAGGTTCTTCGACCTAAATGTGAAGAGCATGGAGGAACCATCATCTCGACCAGAAGAACCGCTTCGTGAGCCTGGTGCGGATGGTGCTGAGACTGGACTATTCATTATATATCTGCAAAAGAATTATATTAGTAAAATATTAAATAAAGTAAATACATAATAGTAAAAATATTATAAAATATACCTTAAAAAGAGAGAGTATTTGAGATAAATTTAGAGAATTTGAGAGAATTTGGTGTGATAAAAGTGATTGAGAATGGGGGTATTTATAGGGAGGATTGGGATGTGAGGGGTCGGGTATTTAGGGGTATAGCACGCCCCCTGCACCGCGTTATACCCCACGTGTCAGATACGCAGGTATAGCGCGGATCAGGGGGCGCTCTATACCCACGTGGCGCCAAATCACCGTATATCACGGGGCAAGGGGTGCGCTATACCCACCAAATCAGTGTATAGCGCGGTTCAGGGGATGCACTTTACTGTTACAGGTGTTAGATCGGAAAATATAATCTGACCGATATTAGATCGGTAAATATACCGATCACCGGTGATTTATGGGGAAAATTGCCCAATTTAATGATACGTACAAATATAAAAAACCAAAAACATAATTATTTTTTTACTCCCCTTTTACATATAGATATACATCATCTTAATTTCATAATTAAAAAAATTAAGTTTCTTGCCCATATTTACACTTGCAAGAAATTAATAAATTTATCTATTTCACTTATGACAAAAACATTTTGTAACATCATGATTAATTACAAGTTTAGGTTAAAAATAAATATAAAGATTGGGGGACCATAAGCAATCCGTACCTCTCTTATCTAATCCATCTGTGTTATGTTACCGCACACTGCACTCACTAGTAAAGTAAAACAAAACAAAGAAAAGCGTGAGTAGAATAAAAACTGCTGGTTTGTTAGTGAAAATAAACCCTACAGGCTTACCCCCCCCCCCCCCCCTTGCTTCTTCACCTGCCTCCTCTTTATCTATAAACCTAGGCTTACGGATTTCATATCGTTAAGAGTAGTCCGTTCAACTTTGGATGCCCTTCTTCTTCCTTTTTCATCCACTACACTGTGTTTTTTGGTCAATAAAAAGGCTTAATTTCCAGGATTGTTTGAGAGGTTTTTGAGATCTGAGATGAATCCATTTTCTGTGAGATGGTAGATGGATTTTTTTTGTATGTTCTTTGAAAAGTACTGGTCATGCTTTTCCACAGCTTTCTTGAACTTTCTCTGAATTCATAATCTCATGCTGCCTGATATATAATTGTCTAGCACATCATGAAAGCTCAAGAAAGCTGTGGGAGAACATGATGGCAATTCAGGACTTGTGTCTATCCCTTCAGCAAGCTACAATATTAATGCAGAACAAGAGAGAATTGTACCCCATGCCAAGTATGCTATGCTCTAAGTTCTCAAAATTGTCACACAATTTTCCTTTTGTTACAGTATTTACTCTTCCTTTCCCATGAATTACGTATGATACACAATTCTTGCAGCATGCAGCTTTGTCTCAGAGAATCTTTCGGATGCTGAATTACAAGGTGGGTTTTTCGTCCTTCATGAACCATTCTTTTAACCATATACACTGCAACAAGTTCTTGACAATGAGAAGATTTGATCTGAATTACAGTATTTTTTTTTTATCGTTGTTGAATTTAGTGTAGGTTCAAAAGGAGAGTTACATTTTCTGCAGAGAAGATTCCCTGGTAGCTTTAATTACATGATATCTGTGGAGGAAAAGTTTAACCTTTGTCCCATATTTGTGACATCATTCTTTAACCACTACACTCCCCCACTTATCATCATCTCTGACAGATCAGTTTTTCTTTCTATTTTCTTATCCAATATTGCGTTAAAAAAAATTAGTTTACCCTATTCCCATATATAATGGGTAAAGGTATATAGGATAGTAGGCTGTCCCTAACGAAGGTTGAGAGCAGCTTTTGTGGAAGACCTCCGGGAAAATCTAGTGTAAGATAAATTTTTAAGCTGAAACTTTGATGGAGAGGCATACATATCAGCCATGGATTGATTGAAAGGTAGAAGGAAGAGGGGAAGAAGAGGGGTTTGTAGGAAGTAAGAGGATACGGGAAGAGAGCGTATTCCTTTGCCACCAATCCCGAAAAGATTATTGAGAGAACTGGGATTCCTTCAAATTTGAGTTTATTTTGTGCCTAAGATCGATATATCAATGACCCCCCTCATACTTAAGAGTTTGATGTAACTCCTCGACTCTCTTTCTCAATTCAAAAAATAAATCAATTAAAATTTGAAAATTCACGTAATTGAGAAATTTATGAATTTTTTATAGGATTTGGGCACTTAAATGATTTTTAAAATATTAAATTCAATTGATTTTAAATTTAGTTGATATTATTATTATTATATTATAATTGATGATATAAAATTGAACATGTTTAAGTATTTAATTTAAAAAATAAAAAATGTTATAATGAAATAAAGTTTATATTTTAAAGTTTTAAATTTTAAAATTTTTGGGTAAAATACACAAATGGTCCTCCGACTACAGGATACAGTGGAAGTTGCTTTGTTGAGTTCCTCAAAAGTTACAAAATAGTCTCCAGTTGTAGGGAGTTGCTTTGTTAAGTCCATCGACTATTGAAAGTTATACAATGGTCACCTAACTATTCGTTATGTTTTAAGTCTTTTTTCGTTAAAAAATTAATGGTCGACTGAGCTGCACGTTATCATGCTAACTGAGATATGATAGCTGTTTGAGATTGTGAGATCAAATTTCATCACATATCAGTCAATAGGTTAACGTCAAATCAGGCTACCGTTAAATTTTTAATAGAAAATGACGAGTTTGGAACACAATGAATAGTCTGATGGTCATTTTGTAACTCTTGATAGTCGAGGGAATAAAAAAAGCAACTTCATATAGTTAGAGACTATTTTGTAACTTTTAATTGTCGAGCGATTCAACAAAACAACTCCATATTGTCAGGAGATCATTTTGTAACTTTTTATAGTCGAGGTAATCCACAAAAACAATATCATAGAGTCGAAATCATTTAAATATTTTAATATAAAATTTTATTGTAATGCATTAAATAAGAAAAGAATAATTAGAAATTTTGAAAAATCACTTGTCAAGAAATTTACAAAGAATCTTAAACAAGTAGAAAATTGATTGGGTTTGGGGAGAGAATGGATGGGCTACCTTTGGTAAAAAGGGTGAGCCCAAATATATTCTCTGCGTTATTTTTCTTCGTTAGACCCAAAACCCGCTTCCAGTTTCCTTTTCACTCTTTCATTTGTAACTTCGCGAACCCGACTTCCAAACCCCTCTCTGTCTCTCTCAATAGTGAACCACCACACCTGCATCTCCCGCCTTCGCCAGGCTCGCCGCCGCCCTTATTTCACACTCCACCTATAATCCATAAATATTTATTTCTTCTTTTCATCATTCTCTCTCGTATTTCTTCTCCTAGCCCCTTCCTTTGGATTTTGTCTCTTCGCTACTAAAATTCTTTTCGTTTCTTTCTTTCTTCATCACAATTGATGGGATGATTAGGAATAAGGGTTAGCTCAGGAGAACCCCAAGGTAAAATCTGAGTATGGATTTGTCTCCCTTCAAACAAGATATTGACGATCTTATTCACGAGTTTGTTCAGGCACTTTCCCCCCCTCAATTTCATCATAATTTTGGCTCTGGGTATTTTTCTGTTTGTATTAAACTTTTACTGGAATTGGTGTTGACAGAGTGAATCATCAACCTTGAATGACATGAAGAGAATATGGTTATCGATGAAATTCTCGTACATTTATGAGGCCAGTCCTACAAACTTAGCTTTCTTTATGCAATCACTTTATGCGCATACTATTGGTATGTCAGTTTTTTTTTCCCTATTTTTTTTTAAGTTTTAAACTTTAAGTTCCGTGTGGTTGTTAGTTTTGCCACTTTTCTGAAAATAGGATTTTTTTTCTCCATTGCTGATTATCCTACACGTTTATGCAGGTCACATGATCAATGTTGAATCTTTAACTTGCAGACTTGGAGGGCTCTATTGCCTCTACTGCCTATATGAAACTCAACCATTCAACCCGCCTTTCAAGATTTATCTCTCACTTGGTATGTTTGCACATTTACATTAGATTAGTTAATATTCCCCCTGAATGGTATTTTTAACAACCAGTAATAATGAGAACGGGAATGCTAAAATTATTCTTGTTAGTTAGGCATCCCCTGGTATTTACAACAACTAGTAATATTTTGTGCTCTATGTTTTGTTTTTCTTCATTTGTTTGTTGCTCTAACTGACAGGAGAGATGAAGAAACTAACAAGCCTAGTTGCTGAGGCAAAAGAAATGGGTATAAGAGTAGTGCCTACCTTGGTGAAAAGGATGCTGGAAAAAGATATGTTTCTGTTTGGGCTTGTAGACTTGAATGAAAGCTCAGTTAACGAGACGATTAACAGTCTCACAAAATTACAAGATGCACGAATACAAGTTGCATATGAGAAGTAGCTTCAGATATCCATCGTTTACGAATTTGTTTTGTTTTGTTTGTTATGAATTTTGTTTTAACATTTCTGTATGTCTTTGATGGTTTCCTCTTTGCTAATAGGTTATTTACCGATACTGACATTGAGCGATGCATCCACATGGACTTGGTAAGTTATGCAATCCATTATATAAAATAATGAGAGGAAGTGGATGGAACTTTTGAAGGCATGTATTAGTGTTCCTATATTCTGCGGTTACTACTATTGGAAGGGACACAAATGCCTTCTAATTGTAAGTGGTACTGAGGATGTTATTTGAAGTTAAAGCAGTTTACCAGCCTTATCTGGTTGCAATCCCTAGTATTGCAGAAGGCATTTGTGCATAAATTTTAGATCAGTATGTTCAATTTCAAAATTTCGAATGGTTGCAATTAACTTGCACTCTTTCGGTCTATAGACAACAGTAGCTTTAAAATGCATTCAACTGGTGCCATGAATTTGTTCTTATAATATTTATCAAATTATTTTTGCTTTTGACTATTTCTAATTATGTGATATATGCTCTTAACCCTAAATGTACTAGGGTATGGAGGTTGACTTTGATAAGATAAAGAAAATGTCCACTGAATATGCAGTGGCTAAGAGAAAAGCCATCGAAGGTACATCCTTTGCTACTCTGGCACTCTATCAACTTTTATAATAGGCCTAAACACGACTGCATATAGTTGTAAACTGACCGCTTTATTATCAGGATGGCGCTGTTCTTATCATTTGGAGCCTGGATTTAAGTCATTTGACCTTGAGCATGTCATTAGCAAACGATTGTGTTTGTGTGGCTAAGATTAAGCAGCTTCATTTGATATATTGGCTTATGTGTTATGTTCCGTGGGTCAGTTACAATTGCCTCACATTTGTATCCACGATTTCATCATTTCATGTTGTTTCCAAATGATTTGTACATGGATGTCTTTTAACCTTTTGTCGCTGCTTCTTTCTGCATCGATGTTAAAATTCTGTATTACACTATTACCTATAAGTGTGAAATTACTCCCTGAAACTGTTCCACTACTCATGGTTTGTATAATCTAGTTTTTCCTGTTTGCTTGGTTTAACCTGTTTATGGTTTCTTTTATTTCCCAAGTATCTCTTTATCGTTTTCTTATTCCATTTTCAATTTTATTTCTTCTTAAAGAGGTTGGAGAGGTGGTAGATGTTCAGAACATAAAGCAGATAACAGAATATGAGAAACCTCTAAGCGAAATAGTTGAGAAGATAGATGAAAGCTGGAACAATCAAAGAGAGTTGTTCTATCGAAGGACCGGATTGAGCCACCACAATCCCGCTGAAGGGGAACAACCGCCGCATCTTCAGTTACAACTGAATGAAAATGAGGCAGACAACAATGACGGTGATGAATTTTATCGTCTACTATATGAACATGATTGAATCCTTTTCCTGGAGAATTGATTTTAATGCAGGGCATCTGTATCTGATTTTTGTCCAACAAACAGTATCAGTGGTGGTTTTGGGTTTGGTGTAATTTGTAATCAAGTACTTGTAGACTGATGCTTATATGTAAATTTTTAAGGTAATAATTAGATAAAAATTATATTTTTGTAATTATAATGAACCATAATCTTGTAGACATGTTTGATTGCTAAAGAGTAATTATGCACCGTCAACTTAACTACTTGTGTAATTCCTGATTCTCAATTCTCTATAAAAATTGCTTTAAATTCTGTAAGAATTAAAAATATAATGGTCCTATTAGTTATAATGAATATCTTTATTAATTATTTTCAAATCCAATTATTTGATAATATTTTAAAATATAATCAGTCAAAACTCAATTATGCTGAGATAAAACATGTTTTATTTACATTATACAAAATTCTCTTTATTTAATTGTTTGAATATGTCCCTTCCATGGTTTTAAAAAGAATCCATTATGGTTGTGGAGAAAACATTTCATTTCAGAAACGTACTGCTTATAATTATTGATTGGTAAATAATTGTGGCAGAAGAGTGTACTGTTGATGAAGAGAATCAGCAGACACCACATGTTAGTAAAGGATAGAGACAGAAGGTTCATGTGCTATAGCTTTTAACCTTAGCCTTCTTGTGAATTCTGATTGATTCCCCCACTTCATCTTCTGATCCAATACAAACCAAAAACTGAATCATTGAGTTCCGCACTGTCGTTTCCTTATTCATTCCCATTGTTTTACGTTCAAAAGGACATTTTTTTAGTACATCTTGTGATGAAACTGAGTTACAAAATGATATTCAATAGACTTGAGTTCAATATCTGCAAAATTACACTTCTCTTATATCTCTTTTCACATGCATTTCACTGTACGAAGGAAGTGTTTTTTATAAACACTATATTTCTTGTCTGAGCAGAAAAACATAATATGATAGTATATTTTTTTTATAAAGCTACCATAAAGCAACGAATTGAGAATCCCGGAAAATCATGAACAAAGAAAAATATCATTCTTGATTGTCTGAGATACAGAAACACTTGCAACAATCCTTTAAAACAAAAGTGGAAAAAAATTGGTGTTACAATAAGAACTGCATTAGATTTCCAGTCCAATTGAGAAAGGAAGAAAGAGAAAGCTCGACATCCTCTCGTGTCGATTTCATCATGGATATTCCATCAACCTACCAACCTACAGAACCGCATGCAAGGAAATCTAATGAGGAACAAAGCTCATGTAATGTAATAATTGTTTGGTACAGCAGCAAAAAATGTCATTTCTTAGTAGAAGGACTCTGCATTCTTTTATCTGATATATATATATATAGACGTACAAAAAATATTAGTGGGTACTTACAAAACCATTGTTATTATTGAACCCTAAAAAAGTAGTACTGGAAAAATAAAATGAAAACCATATTTCAAACGAGATGCTTAACAAGCAGTTTAAGATTGGTTATATAAATTAAACAGAAGTAATTAACTTGGTTCTAGAGAGAGCAGATGTAACCAGGAGGGGGTGTTTTCCCACAAGTGACAAGGAGCTGAAGAGCCAGCGGCACATAAATGTTAAGGTTGAGAACCTTGAGCTTGAGAGTGGTGCACAAGCAGACAGCAGCTTCGAGCTGAGCCAGTCCTGTAAGAACCGGACAACATTCGTTCACGACAGGGTCACCAAGACCAATGTGCACCAAACCTCCCAGGAGATCCACACATGCACCCAGTTTCAGCGTGTCGATAGGACAAGTGTCCTTGCTCGGTGGTGATGGGCAGGATTTTCCTTTTCCACTTGGCGGTTTAGTAATAACCGGAGGAACTGTTACTGGAGGAACTGTAACCGGAGGGAGGCCAATGGGTGGCTTCACAATGGGAGGAAGCCCAACCGGTGGCAAATTGATTGGAGGTTTAACGAGGGGAGGCAAAGTGATGGGACCTGTCGGGGACTTTCCCTTGGGCTTTCGATGCTTTGATGATGCCTTCCTACATGAACCGCACCCAAGAATTGCAGTCACCGAGGAAATGAAAAGCATGCAAACAACCAGCAGAGCTGATACTTTGCCGGACTCCATTTTCAAACCCAAAGAGAAAAGAGAGATTTGAGTGGAAATGTGTAAAAATGATGGTAGCCAACTAGCCAAGCAGGAATTATATACAAACAAGGAGGAGGAACGAGCCCTAGGAGAAGAAGCAAATCACGTTAAGCTGGGCTAGGATGGAGAGGCAGCTGCCAAAATTTGCTAGTTGGCAATGCCCTTTACAAATACATGAATCTTTGTATCAACATTTGCTATGTTATCAGCATTTCCTCTTGGCTTCTAGCTTGTATATGGAAATACATTTTACTCTCATTTCTTATTTAAGGAACAGATGGATATGGAGGGAGGTCGACAGAGTTAATTTGGATCCTTCTAACTCTATTTCTTAACTCATTACGTTTCGACAACACTACCATTTAAAAAAAGACCAATTAGTATCAACAATAATTTAATATCAACGTAACTTATTACGTACTATATCGTTAACTTAGTAGATTAGGATAGGATAAATTGTTTTCTTCATCAATGAATTTTCTTCTCATGTCATTTATATTTATTTTAATTATCTAATAAATGATATAAAAACGATTTCATTTTAAAAAATTTAAATTTATAACAAAATGGAACTGGTTTATATTCATATAAAACTCAAAAAAAAAAATTCTCTTCATGCGTCTAAATTTCAATCATTATTTATCAAGGTCAACCACCGTAAACCATCATTAATAATATTTCCATTTGCGACATAGGGGCCACATGAAAGCAGGCTGCTCGAGCAGATTATACTATCCTCTATGTGGATATGGTGCATTTTATTTTTATTTAAAAAAGCTCCCCATTTTGTAAATTTTATTTGTTAAAAATTCATTTATATATTTACGTTTGAAAATTTTATTCATTTATCCAATAACCCGTTTTCTGTATATTTTTATTTATTTTGGCATCCTTTAAAGAAAGTGATTCGATTTTATATTTTATTAACATTTTCTTTGATAAGGGGTTATTAATATATTTGAAGTGATCCCTCAGTTCCTTGTATATCAAGTAACCATTCATTCTCACCTTAGTCCATAAGTATAGATAGTTTAAGTTGTATGGGAATCTGAAATTTTTCTAAACGGAAAATTTTCTTTATCGTAATATATTTTGTGCTCCTCGGATTCCTATGCATATGTTTATGTAGGTCATCATGTTTGGATTATTTTATACGCACTCAAGTGTTTTACAGCTATTCATACACACACATATAAGGTAAGTTCTTAATGTAAATTTTTTGAGTTAGATAATTGGATGAATAAAATTAGATAGTTAAAATTTACGGTAGAAAAATAAATAGATGGTTACAAAAAATGAATTATTTCAATTAAAAATTTTAAATCTTAATTAATAAATTTAGTTAATCTAATAATCTTAAAAAAACATATAAAAACGCTAAATGAATTGCAAAAGTTTTACATTATTTGTAATTAATTCAAATTAAATATAACATTTGAATCTTTAATACTAAATATTGAAATATGTTAATTATTTATTATTATTTTCCTAATTACATTTGGACTCAGCACCCCAAAATTTAATACAAGCCATAGAAATAAATTTATTGAAGGCCTGTGAGTTGAACATTGGGCCAACTAGGGCCGTAAATGGGCTGAGTCGAGTTCGAGTATTGATGAGTTCGACTTGAATTCAAAAATTTCAAAATTAAGCTCGACTCGATTCGAAAACTCGCGAGCTAAAAATTATACAAAAACTAGATATTTTAATAAATAAAATTTGATAGATATTGAAGTGTGTTTTATATTAATTTAAAATTTCACTCCTATTGAAAGTTAAATTATTAAAATTAAAATTTATATATAAAACATTTTAATTACGTTTATAGTATAGAATAAACGTGTACATAGAAAGGAAAGGGCGAGAGAGATAGTGTCGAATAATGAAGTGTTAGTGAGGGTTTTGATTTGCAAACGCAGAATCACTGATCCACGTTTCATTGAAATCCCAAGTGGTCCTTATTTCCGTTGTCATTGACGAAGCACCTCGATTCCTTTATATATTCCTTCATTCCAATTCTTCCCTCCTCTTTGGTTTCTTGTACATATACTAGCCTCAGCCCTCCACGGCTCCGGCCTTGGATATCTTCAATTTGCTTGAGAATGGGGATATTATACGGGATGGTGGCGAGGGGGCAGGCGGTTTTGGCGGAGTTTAGCGCAACCAAGACAAATGCGAGCATCGTAGCTAGACAGATTTTAGAAAATATGAGCCAAGGAAATAATGACACCAATTCTTCCTTTTCGCACGATCGTTATATTTTCCATGTCTACAAAACCGATGGTCTCACCGCTCTTTTCATGGCCGATGATGCCTTCGGAAGTAAGCTATTTCTTATAGGGCATTTTGAATTATGCTTCGTATACAATACGTAATTGATTAATGTTGTTGAATATACAGGGAGAATTCTGTTTGCTTTCCTTGAAGATGTCCATCACAGATTTGTAAAGGCATATGGTCGTGCCATTCAGTCAGCTTCGGCTTACACCATGAATGAGGAATTCTCCAGGGTCTTGAGTCAACAGATGGACCGTTTCTCATCTGATCCCAATGCTGATAGATTAAACCGTTTGAAAGGGGAGATGAGCCAGGTTGGTAAATTTTGCAAATATCATTCATTGTCATATCTTGATATGATTCTGAATATTTATATGCATAGTTACGGAGTGTAATGATTGAAAATATTGGAGAGAGGCAATCGGTTGGAGTTGCTGGTGGAGAAGACGAGTTCAATGCAGGGGAACTCAATTCGGTTCAAAAGTCAATCTCGTCGTTACAAGAATACTATGTGGTGGAGTAATTGCAAGATCACGTAAGTATGTATAGTCCATTCTATTTACGATATCAAAATCATGCACTGAGATTGATATCATTTGACTTTAACATCAAGTACGAATTGTTGTTGTGTTGCAGGGCGACACTGATACTATTGCTTTCCTTGATTATCGCTTATGTTCTGTTCGAATCTGTCTTTTAATGGACTCTTTTTTTGTCGTCCTCGTTGATGTAACATCATGGTTTGTCACTTTTTTCTTCACATATTATAAATATATATATATATATATATTTGCTTCTGCAAATGCCAATGATAACAAATTTCACAAATATTAACATATAACTCAAAACGCCTTCGTAAACAATTAAAAATTTGGTGACAATTTTAAATAAGCTAAACATATCAGGCATTTTCCATGGATCAAAATTCGAACGTTGTTCGTCCGACGAATCTACATAAGCCCTGTATATGGTTGAAAAGGTATACTGGAGTTGTAAGGGCGGACGCGGGCACCATAAGGATATCCGAAAGCATTAGAAGGCGGCTGTTGTGGACCCATCTTCATCATCTGCTGCTGCAACATAAAAGCCTGATGCTGATTGGCCACTGCGGACATCTGGACCGAAGGTGAAGCAGCGAACACGTCGGAGGCGTAAAAGGGGTCATGTAACGGTTGTTGCATCATAGCGCCAGACGTTGGAGGTGGTTCCCATGGATTATAGCTGACGTTCTTGTAGCTACTTTGGATTGCATCCTCATACAGACTGTCTAACATAAACTTGTCGAATCCTCCGCCCTTTAGATTAATACCAAATTAAAATAGTATCAGTAAAACATACTTGAACATGTCATGTTACCTGTGGATGTCTGAACGGACATCGAATGTTTGTAGTCCTGGACAAAGGCACAAAGCAATTACAAACTAATATGCTGATAGCCTTGTTATGCGTACCATTTTGTAAGTGGCAGTGGCAGTATCGTTCGAGCTTGGAGCGGTGACGAGTGCCAATTCCCAACCTGTAGTACCATTTGCTTGAACAAAAGCAGCGGCAGGAGTTGTTTGCTCAGCTGGAAGACCACCATGGAAACATAAACACAAATTGACAAGAAGAAATAAGCCATTGAAGCAGAGTTGATCTAATTTAGAACAATACAAGAGGAATTGTTTAGGAGCTTATAAATTCAAAGATTCATGGCGTTAATCATTGAAACTCACCAACGGGAACAATAGCCAAATCCAAGGCATTCTTCTCATATAGTTTTGATGCAACTGGAGCAAGATCATTTAAACCCTAGTAACAAAAAGAAAAGGTCATAATGGAACTGCGAAAGCTGCAGATGAAACTATAAAAGAGACTAGGAAATTACAAACAAATCAGACGGTTCAACCATAGGCTCTTCTACTTTTTCGGCTTCTTCCAGTGTGGACAGAAGAGGTAGTGGTGAACATTGCTGCACATCTGGGGTTTTATTGTAGTCAATGGCCAACACTTCTTTGGGTTTTTCAATCTGTTTGTCATGTCAATTTTTCATAAGACTAACATAAAATAGTAAAATTCAAAACAGGAATATGAATTCAAAGTAGATATAACTGTCTAAATTAGCACAAATTCATCGGCTTACATATATTATATTTAATTTCATGTAAGTTGTAAAGGCATAGTGAAATAGATAGTTATCTTCTAGACCTGATCTTTGCGCACTGTTGAAGCCTGTGAAGCTTCACTTACATAATCTTCCATGGCTTGTAGAAAGGATGCAGGGGGCTTCAACATAAGCACCGAAAGAAAATTATTTTCCTGATAAAGCTCAAGGCAAAGCTAATCTGTTTCAGATGGAACCAAAGTTTAAGAACCCTAACCTGCTCTATCTTAATATATCTTTCGCCACGCCCAATATCAAGCCTTTTACATACTTCATAGAATTCTGAAAGCCCCTCCACCTGCAAATACAAAGTGTACAATTCCCCCAGAGTTTTAAATCATGTTCATTTACGCTAGAGTCAATATTAGCGATATTGGGACAGCAATTTACCTGATGCCTGGATCTCCTGTATATTTTCAAAGCTCTCATGGCATCAGAACGTTGCATATCAAAGAACTGTCATTTGTTCAGAGCGTCATATACATATGATTTACCGAAAGAAAAGCATCTCGTTTCGAATTTCAATGGTTAAAACCGCAGCTTACCTTGTCCATGAGATTGGCTGTACCATCACTTAAAGCTCGATAAACATTGACGCTTTCTAAAGCAACCTGTTTGAAATGACAAAAGGGCAAAACACAAGAGAATTTCATTTCCAAATCAAACTCGTTGGGAGCATAGATGTGTACTATGTTTGAAAATTAACGTACCAAAGAAAGTGCCAACTGAACCACATGATTATGCGCGGCTGCACCTATTGGCTGCACGGAAATTCCATTTATGTTCCCACAGAGATATGGAACTAACACAGTCGAACGAGAGGAATTACAAACCTGACAACCGAGAACACGGAAAAGAAGTTGTTGCAAAGCTGGCAAATGTTCAAGCACCTCTTCAGTGTCCAAATCTTTGGTTCTCTGCAAGAAGGTTTTACAACCATGAAATCTCCGGACGGTTTCGGTCTCCATAAATTTAAAGAGATAAGCTCCTTACGGGGCCGGTCATATCGATGTCATACTTCAAGACACGGAAACATTCCATCCTCTCCTCCAAGAACGAGGCGTAACTGCGAACCCAGGCAGAATAATCCCATGCTGTGCAGCAAATGGTTAATATAAACTTTAAAAAAATTCCACGAACAAGGAACTTAAGCTTTCTGAAAATGAATAGTAACATGGATTCTCAAAGGATAAAGATAATTAAGCTACTATTTAGGTTGGAATCATCCTTGAAATGAGACAGGTTAAGCATATGGCGTCTACTTCTTCCATAGTTAATGACTTCCTCATGAAATGTAGGATCCACCTCCCTCAAAGCACGATGAATCACTATTAAAGTTTTCAATGCTACCTAAGTGCCAAACAAAGATTCAGTCCATCAAATTGTGAAAGAATGTTATTGCAGTATGTATGTAATCCAGGCATACCGCCCAATTATGTGTCCTTGATAATCGTCTTGCAAGAGCATGAATGCAATAGGCAACATCAGCCCGAGGCCTAGTAGCTGAAATGGCATTGAAAATTGCTGCGAACAAGAAGAGTCTTAATGTATAACAAATCCATAAAAGTGCTAAAAATGAATACGACAATGGGCGTCCACCTTTAATGTATTTTTCCTTTGCAGGGCGTTCGTAATGATTTGTGGCCTTCACTATCGCAATATCCAGTTCCTGCAAAACAGGAAAAATGCATGCACGACCAATAAGAATTATGATCGTAACCATCTGGATTGACGTTGTTGTTATTAGATATGCAGCTAAATCCACCTTATAATCACTGTGGACTTTAGCCAATGAAACCGTGGTGGTGTCTTTGATGGCTCCGAGCGCTTTCCTGAAGCTACTCTGCTTGCCCCCGCCGGACATTCTCTCTCACTCCCAATCACAAAACCTGCCCATTTTCAGTAATTCCCATCATAAACAATCAACAAGGAAGTGGCACTGATCGATCATCTATAGATCTAAACCAAACATAACGAATCACGTTTGAATTACCACCCAATAAGGAAGAACAGCAAAGATCTAACCAAAACAAAATGAATCAACAATGATGTTAATCTTGAGTCAGATTTGTTCTTGTTGTATGGTTCGCATCACAGTTTATTTGTTTTATTTATTACAAATTTATTTTAATTAATTTTTTCTCTTCTAGATTTTGATATCTTGTATGTGTCCATGTGTCGGAATATGAAGGTGTAAACTGTACGTTGGAATTAGTCAGTAACTTAATGCGGGATATTTGACTTAATTAAATTAAGCAAAATAGGCGAGAGTTGAATTGGAACACTTCCTTGTGTTTAATCCAATAAGATTTTCAATGAGCTGAACCCGCAGTGCAATGCAATCTCAAGATGAGCTCGTTCTGGCCCAGATTGGATGGACCACGTTTTCCAATGGATACGTAAATGTCAGAGGTATTCCTTTTCTTTTATGTTTTTTTTTCATTCCATCGTTAATTATTTAACGATAATATGACATAATAACGACATTTTAAAAATATAAAAAGATTTCAATTTTTTTAACTTTGTTAAAATATCTTTAAAATCTTCCTTCTTAAAATTTTAACCTTGACATGTTAGAGTATCTTTTTCTAAATTCCAACTATGGGAAGCGGGGAAGTAAAAGACAAACAATATGTTCTGATTTCATAATGACTGGATGAGTAGATCAAAATCTTTTGTCTTTGCATTTTAGGTTGATGTTTCATGAGTTATTAAGGAGATTTTGAGAAAAAATAAATTGATAGTGGGATAGAAGACAATGAGACGAGTTCTTTGATATTTGGAGTGATCGTAGAACACGTCGGATAGTGATGGCGTCGATGTTGGCATAAGATGGAGACTAATATTTAAGAGTTTTAAAGTTGTTAGGAAAATGATGAAATTGAAGAAAAAAATGAAATCACATTCACGTCAGCAAAAAATAGCCTACATCACACAAAAAAATTACATCACATTGTTATCTTTGATTTAGCGTTCGAGTGATAAAAAATGAAGTAAATCAAAAGTTGAGTGATTAAATTGGATTTTTGTAAGTTCAATGACTAAAGCAAAACTATTTTCAAAAATAAATGATGTTTATAATTTACTTTAATTTTTTTAAAAAATAAGAGAATTATATCTTTTGTTTAATAATTCGTTTCTATTAGAATCCAAATATAATGGAAAACTAGTGAATCATCGATGAGAGTCTAAAAGGAAAATAATATTATAAAGTTGACTATTCGCTGCCGTATCATATACTCACAATGAATATTACTATCTAAAGAGATTTTTTTTCATTTCTAAAGTGAAAAAAACAACAACAAAATCCTATTTTCATATACGATGGGATAAGGGATGTAGTGTAGTAGGCTACACCCAACGCCAGGTTGAGAATAGCTTCAGTGGAAGACCTCCGGCAGTCAAAAATTTTTAAAATAAATATACAATACAATGAATGTATAAATAATTATATAAATACATAGTTAAACAGTCTTCTTATGCCGTCTTCATATATGCGTCTGTAATATGAAGTAATACCTACAAATAAATCTCTGCGTAGAAATCACTGCATATATACAGAAACGTAAGACCTGACTAAATTCAAAAAGAGGAAACATGAAGAGAATGGTACCCAAAAGTCAGCGATAGCAAACTACGATAAGGAAAAAAATCAAATGGGTTAAAACCTAAACTAAGACAACATTACTTTTCTACCCTAGTTCTAAGCCTTCATAAAAATCCAATGACAAAAACGTATAAAAAGTAGAAGTCCTGGAAATTACTACAAAGACATTACAAATAAGACAGAGATGCTACACCCTATGACTGTGACTCACACTACTCAGCTACTCTGGTCTTAAGTCTCCATGTTTAACAATGGTTTTTTACTTGTTAAAATTACGTCATTGCTATTTACTCTAGCGTAGAGAGTTACTTAAGATTATTCAACATCACGAGACATTCAAAGCAAACCTTCCTTTACGTTCCTTTGAATTTATATACATAAATCAGATTGTTTAGATCCAAAAGTTTATGGTTGGGAAAACAGCTAGCTAATATATATGACCTTGAGGGATTCAGTCAACTCAACCGTGAAGACCTCGGTCATGCTTTGCAGTGGCATCATAGAAGGAAAAAAAACAGAAATTCAGTCGTCTCCTTTTGTTGCTTTGGTATCTCTTTCCTTTGTTCAAGTTTGAAGATAAAAGAGAAACCACTGTTTTTCTTCTTTTCTTTTTTCCTTTCAATGATATGGTGATGAATGATGATTCATTTGTGATTTCGTTTTCATTAATTCATGAGAATGGTTGCTTCTATGTTTAGTCTAGTGCTGTTTATGCAATTATCAATATTCTTCGCAGCATCCATGGAAGTAAAGTCCAAGATTTTTGGTGATGATAACATAGTCTATTCAACTTCATATGGTGATGAATTGTTTTATTTGAACGGCGATTTAGTAGATAGAGTTTTGTTCTGCAAGACCATACAGTTACACCATGCAGATCATTGTGTGTTTGAAGGCTACAATGATGCAACAAATTACTGTGGTTCGGACCTATTGTCCGGTAACGATTATATTTTATGCTTAAAAATTGTTTCTTGGAGTCTTTATCAATGGATTATAGCTTTGACAGTTGATTTGTACCTGTAGGAGGAGGAAGGAGGTTATTGGGGAAGCCGGAGATAGGAAATTATAGAGCTGATCTTAACTCGAACCAGAAGCACATCAAAGGATATCCGGACTGGACGATAATACTGATGATAGCAGCTGGAGTTCTTCTGACATGCTGTATTTGTTGCTGCTGCTGTATTTGTTGGAGAAAGAGAGCAAACGCCCACACTGTTATTACACAGGATTCGAATTCATGTGAGCCTTAACTTTACCTAAGCTTTTATTTGGTCAAATTAAAGCATATATGAAAGCCATACTAGTTCTTTCAAAGTATCCATACTGTTTGTATCTGTTCTTGCATTGGTTTCAGCTTCCCATATGGAAATGAATATTCATTTTCCACCGGAAACAATTCCGACCACCCTACTAAGGGTACAGCCTAATCCTTCCCTATTACCAATGTCTCCGAAACTTGGAAGAACAGGATCAGTGCATCTGACTATGACAGAGGTGGCTAGAGCTACCTGTAATTTCTCGCCGGAACTTCAGATAGGTGAAGGAGGGTTCGGAACTGTTTACAAGGCCCTCCTAGGTTCTGGTCAGTTTGTTGCCGTTAAAAGAGCAAAGAAGGTGAGTAAATATGACCATGGGCATGGAGATACTATTTCTGCAACAGTGCTTGTCTCATATTTTGGTTTTTTTTTTACATAAAACAATTGTGCAGGAACATCTAGAGAAGCTGCAAACTGAGTTCAGCAGTGAAGTTGAACTTTTAGCCAACATCGATCATCGGAACCTCGTGAAGTTACTTGGTTATGTCGATAGTGGAGATGAACGCCTTATTATTACAGAATATGTACCCAATGGCACTCTCAGAGATCATTTGGATGGTAAGTCCTCTTGACCTTAATAACTGCTCCAGTTTTATGTCAAAAATAGATTCAAAAAATTGTTTTCCTGCAATTCATGGCAGGTCAACGTGGCAAGATCTTGGATTTCAATCAGCGTCTTGAAATCGCCATTGATGTTGCTCATGGCCTTACTTATCTGCATCTCTATGCAGGTGAGAAAATAAAGAAATGAATAATCAAATGAAACAATGCCTAATTGGTCGTATTGATGATGAATTAGGGAAGCAAATCATTCACCGAGACGTGAAGTCATCCAACATACTTTTGACAGAAAGCATGCGAGCTAAAGTGGGAGATTTTGGATTTGCAATAGTTGGTCCCATGGACTCCGACCAAACACATATTTCAACCAAACTGAAAGGAACTGTCGGCTACCTAGATCCTGAGTACATGAAAACCTATCACCTCACGGCCAAGAGCGATGTGTATTCGTTCGGGGTTGTACTTCTAGAAATTTTGACAGGCCGCCGCCCAGTGGAGTTGAAAAGACCCTACCCGGACCGTGTCACACTTAAATGGGTAAGCTTGACCTTCATTCTCTTTAAATTATTAAAAAAGCGGTTTTCGATGATACCTTATGGTTTTCAAATGTCGTGCAGGCATTCCGTAAGTATAATGAAGGGCACGTAATTGAATTGGTGGATGGTATGATGGAAGAAGTGGTAGATGCTGAGATATTAATGAAGATATTTGCTTTGGCATTTCAATGTGCAGCACCCACAAGGATTGATCGGCCCCAAATGAAATCCGTGGCAGAACAGTTGTGGGCGATAAGGGCAGACTACCTTAAGACTTCAAGGAGAAGGTAGAACGGGAGACAGAGTAAAGAATAGTCTCCTCCCCCTTTTGACTTTTCTTTTCTCCTTGATGCCTCTTTGCTATTGTCCACCTTTCCTTTTGCATAATAAATATATGAACCTTTTTACCTTGTGGTTTTATATTATTTATTCAACATTAAAAATGCATTTTTTATATTTAATCTTTATTTAACGTTAAATTTATTTTATTTAAAAGTTTGTCAAACCATCAGATGCTAAACCTTAAGGAACAATGTAATTTTGAAAGGGAGCAGGGCATTAGTAATTTACTAGTGCAAGAACTTTGCATACAAGATATTTCACCAAAGCAAAATTTGTGAAAGATGAAAGATCCTGACTTGTAACTTTACTGCAATGAGGCTGCTGAACAATGAACGATCCAACCTTGTGGAGTTTAAATATAAAAGCTAAAAGAGGACAACTGAACCATAATGGGTTAACAACAAGACTATTTACAAATTTGTTTTAGTAAAATGACTGCTGAATGAAGAACCCCCTAAAATATTTTAAGAAAAGGAGGCAAATGGAACCCTAATCTTTTCCATTTACTATTTACCAATAAAGGGTGCAAACTTAGTACGTGTTCCGCCATGAAATCATGCCTTGTTAGTATGCCCACCACTGGTGTTCTCTGCAGTAAAAACATAAAGCATTAGGTAATAATAAAAAGAATTAGGAATCCAGATCAAGGGAAATGGATATGGTAAAGTTTCTTACGTTGGACGTCTTGGGTATGACAAGTAGGTGCCGCAAGCCCATTTCACGGAAAAGTGTGCTTGCCTTAGCTAGTGACATTGTCTCCACAACCGTGTACGGTGATGCGTTGGTAAAAGGGTGCAAGTCCAAGAACATTTCCATCTCTTCATCAGTTAAGTTTATGTCTTCTATTCTGTCAAAGTTACCTAGGCCCTTCTTTGCAAAATCATCTGCTGAGAAATGCCTAAAGGCTTCAACACCTATCCGCACAGGGGTGCGCAAGAAAGCTCTCATCTTTAGCAGTGTAATAAGATGGGCACGGAGGATTAGACCATACAAAACTGGGGATTCCGAATGCGAAGGTTCGTCGATAACAGGAAACCCGTGATGATTTGTGGTCTTGAGGATGTGTACTATATTTCCAACCTTCTCAATTCCGTGACAGAGCTGAAGCGGACCAGAGACAACATCAGCGACTGTGAGCTGCCTCATATAAGGTTCAGCATGAGCTTCTAGGTAAGGAAAACCCTTTGCCTTCATTATAAGGTCATAAATGTTTCCATTAAAAGCATCAGCTACAGTCTTGGATACAAGAAGAACAATCATGATGATTGGTAACAGTAAGAGGTTATTGGTCAATTCCAAGATTATGACACCCAAGGAGACTGTCATCCTCATAGACCCACCAAGAAATGAGGCCGCCCCAAGTACAGCATAAAAACCGTTATTAAGGTTTGTGTGAGAACCAAGTAACATTCCAACGAAGCGTCCATAAGATGCTCCAGTAACTATGACTGGTACAAAAAGTCCTGCTGGAGCAACAACCCCGGAGCTAACAATACTTAGAAAGAAGCAGGTGACAAAGAATATGAGCATTGTTGAATGCTGAAACTCAGAGTCAGTATTCCTGCTGAAAAGATTTCTGATAGCATCATCATTTGTGTTGAAAATGAGGCTTGCAAGATCATTGTAGTGACCAGGAGGACATTGAAACTTCTTGTAGTTACCAGATCGACCTATTGTGGGACAAGCTTCGGCTGTATCGAATGGGCATGGTTGGCAAGATGCGAGCGTAATCCAAAAAGCAGACAAGATGTAAAAATGGAAATTGCACAAGCAATAAAGATCTTGTAAGTAATGCTTTTCCTGAGATGAGAAAGAGAAGGGGAAATAAGGAGAATGACCCAGCAAATAATATTTTTGTCAGGTACTAGAAATGGTAATTGGAGCAAAAAAGGCAAATATGAAAATAGAACTTACTCATTGATGATGGCGTAAACTCGGAGAACCTTATCTAAAAGGAAGTTGTATAGACTTCCCAATATGCCCCCGACAACTCCAAGAAGAAGCACAGGAGGAACATCGGCAATGTGATACGAAATGTTAGCTGAATAGACATCAAACATTATCAAACCCCCTTTACCAAATAGCCCACATTTGCCACTTAAACAGACATCAATTAGAGCTCGTAGTATGATAGCAACCACAGCAGTCGTAAAGAAAGCTCTCCAAAGAAGGCCACTCGTCCACCTGCAGAACAATACCAGGATATAAGCATTAGATGTTCACTTTTATCGGTTTTCTCTTGTCAGCAGACATTATGAGAACCCTGTGAATGTTGAATGAAAGAAAGGATGGCAATTCTCAAAGCAAAATATGTCACATCAAAGGGCATAGAAGAATTGCATATTTTCTTTCAATCCATTAATGATTATGAATGAAGTAGCTGCAGATGGATATTGAAGAGTTGTTCTTCTTTCCATCCAAGAAATAAGTGTAGTCAAGAAAACTATTTACAAACCAGCTATACAACAAAACACTTGAATTAGCAAATATGGATGTGACAAGTTGAAGAGTGGCAGAGGACAGAAACAGATAACATGGAAAAAATGTAATAAATTAGGACCCATGGAGCATGGAGACTATCTTGATAAATGTTGAAGAAAACCATGATTCATCGTATTAAAATGTCAGTGACAGTCAAGTAACTGAACTCGAATAATGCATGTAGCTAAAATGAACAGACTGACAAATATGCAGTAACACTGTAACAACCAGTACACTGATGAAAGAATGGTTAAAAAGATATCAACATGGTGCAACAAATGCAATTGTCAATTTACCTACCAGGATGCCATTTCTTCAAAAGCAAACAGCACACCTCCAACTGGGGCGCGGAAAGCTGCAGCAATTCCAGCAGCTGATCCGCATGTTACAAGATCTCGTCGGTCTCTATCATTCTTAAAGAATCGAAGCCACTTCCATGTTAAACCATATCTTCTGGACCCACCCTGTCCTAATAATGATGCGATGCATGATCCAGTATGCACCATAGGGCCTGCTTTTCCAACTAGGAGAGATGATGACACTGCAGAAATACTTCCAATAATCTGCACATTTCACACAATTATCACATTTCTGCATCGAATGGACAGCAAAAAAAACAGAGAAATTCGTTTCTTTTGAATTCCCGATTACTCTTAACTGAAAAAAAGTGATGTGTAAAACTTTGAAGTTGCAATATCCTTTAACTTGATATGTAATTGCTTATTCACTGTATCTGCATCAAGGGAGTTTGCAATTAAAAGTTTTTTTAGTATAATATATATAATACCTTAACAATACAAGTTCGTAATGAAATTATTCCCGGAGCATCTACGCCATTCAAGTATGCCTTTACTTCCGGTATACCAGAGCCAGCCGCAGCTGGCGCAATAAACGCCGTAATGATGGCAGCAAATAGAGTTAAACCCAAATTGGATAGAGAAAACACTAGAAACGCCGTCTCGTACCTGCAACATACAGAAATATAAGAATTTCGCTATAAAAAAAGCAAATAAATTTTCAAGGAGCGAGAGAGACCTTCCAGCTAACATCATGTTAGATGTGATGACGAACTTAACGCCGGCGATGTTCTCAACGGCGAGATTATTACAGAAACCAACGAGACTGGCGATACCGCCAATCAAGAAACAGAGAAGCCACTTCATGAAAATATATTGAAAAATCTGGATCTTCCCGCGTGTCCTCCAGTCTTGTTTGAAGAAATCATTTTCAGCAATCCTTAAAAAAGAAAACACACCGAAACGATCAAAAACCGAAATCTAATGACTGAAAATACACATGATTATTAGGTAAAACGGATGGCTTACTCGTAGTCGAGGCTTTCGATAGGGCAGAGATTGACGCCTACGATGGCGACCTGAGAGGTGGCATTAGTGGATCGATGCTGGCCATATAGTAATGGACTGGTGAGAGACTCGAGGTCATAATCTTGATTCGGGTCCTCGCTTTGGGTTTGCTCCGGGGGAACATTCTCTGACATGGCGTCACGTGGCGGCGCTCTGGGTTGCTGTGGAACCTAAGGTGAAACGAATATAAGGATTTCGATTCGGAATTAAAATTAAAAAAAAAAAGTAAAACAAATAGAATATTGCACCAGCAGAAGAGATACAGGAGAGAGTTTGAGATTGAGTAGAACTCTGTTGGAACAGTTGTGTTATATTTTTTTTGAACTTCTAATTTCTTTTTTATAGAATGATAGGGTGAAATTAAAATACTAAAATAAAAACCCAAAAAAACAATAACTGGCCAGTGTGATCCGTTGTGGTGTTGGAGACGATCAATCAGAGATGAATACGAAGCAGACAATCCCTGCAAGCTTCAACATCCGAAATTGGAAACTTCGTGTTTAGGACTTGTGGGGCTGACTCGGGCGGCTTCCCTTTGCGACGTCTTTCTGCCCTGCTCACAAGTCCCACTTCCCCTTCTCTTTCACAACCCTCATTCTCCATGTATAATATAACATTAATCTAAATAATATTTCAATTTTAAAAAATATAAAACTATATCTTGAACTTAAGTTCATGCATTGAAATATAAATTTATATTTTATAATAAAATTTTAAGTAAACTACGTATTTAGTCACCAAACTATCATTTTAATTATGTTTTTCAAAATCATACATAAAGTTACGTTTTGGTTATCCACAGTTAAAAAGCTAATAGTGATATTGAGGTATCGACAAAAGATAATGTCCAATCATCATTGAGAAAAACTAGCACGCTAACAGTTTTGTTTATGTCTTAACGGCAGGTGCGTAAAAATGAAAACAAAATATAATGTAACGTTAGACTTTGAAAAAAATAGTTGAATGATTAAAACTAAACCAAAATAATATGTGGTTTATCCTAAAATTTAAAACATGTGACGAATAAATATAATATTTATTAAAAAGTAAAAGCGATCACCTAATTTTTTGTTTTGTGGAGGACGTTATTGTTAGGATATATTCCAAGAAAACCTCAATAGAGTTAGTAAAG